ATCTATAATAATATATAAAATAACATTTAAGAAATTATAACAGATAAGACAATAGATTTACCTCAGCAGGTGGAATTTTAGGGATACGTAATATGTCAAAGATTATACATCAGCTAATGTATGAGTGTTTAAATTAAAGAGTAAATCTACTTTTGTTATATTTCAGAAACTGAGAAGAAAAATGAAATTGCAAATTAGACTTAGACTAGATAAAACCTGCTAGTTTATACAGATTTAAGCATATTCCATGAACTTCAGATACCAGATTTGGGAGTTAAACTGAGAAATAATGCTTTACAACTTTTGTAAAAGTTACTATCTTCAGGCACATGCATAAGTAGTGAATGTTGCTCTAGAACAAATAATAATTTTTTTTGTATGTGTGGTCTGTGAGTGTGTGGATATATAGGTACATATATGTGAAGATATGTGTATATGTGTATATATATAGATAGATAGGCAAAAGAATGCTATCTGCATTTTCCCAGCCTTACATTAATACATGCCAAGTATAGTAACTCACTTAAATCAAGACTACAGCAGTAGTTTTGATAAGTGTCAGCTAATTTGTAAGCATTGCTGAGGGCAATGTATTTACAAATGCACAGAAAGATAAAAGCTCCGTAAAAGAACGGAGTACCTTTTTGAAGTGAAATTGCCAGAAGGATTTTGTATAAGGAAGCTTATTCATTTTTGTAGGAACTGTTCCAGAATAAGTAGCAGAGAATTCAGTATTCTCTGCCCATCTCTGGGTCTTTCTTGAGAACTGCACTGTTCATATGTATTTGAAGTTAACTGCTTGTAGTGTTAATTGCAGAAAGAAGTCTTCAAGGTCAAATGCTGTTCAAAATTCTGAAGTGTTAGTCATTTATGTAAATAGAAATGGCTAGATGAGCTAAAATAAACTATTTTTTCTGAGAAGTTTTACATTCCTGTGTTCCAGAAATATCTGTATTTCCTCTTTTCTTCTTTGGGTTTTGTTTGCAGCTGTGAGAAAGTGCACTAAAAGTTGTCTTTGTGTTTTCTTTTTTTTTTTCTGAAAGCAAGCAGAAGTGTGCTTTTTCTCATGTTCTATAGTAAAGAGTTCAAAGCTGTGTAACTGAGAGCCTGATTTCCTATTCTTCTTTCTTGACTTTCTCAAGATTGCGGCTGCTGAGGAAAGGTCTCATTGTGGAGACAAAAATGCTACTGAGATACCTTGAGCCACTTCTGTGACATGGAGCATCATGGGAACTAATAAACTGGCCTTACGGTTTGCCTGAAATCAGTGATGTCTTATGTGAATATGTCCTCAGTGACTGATGAAAAGGCACAGCTGTGTTTTGGTGTAGCTGGAGTATAGTTCACTGCTAAAATGTTTGTGTTTAAGGTAGTCCAGGGGAAAGATGCAGAGGAGTGGCCAGGGTGACAGATAAGGGAATAGACAGATCTTTTGCATTCTTCTTGGGTGTCACTACAATAAATCTCTGCTTCATGATGCTAAATCTAGAGCCTTCAACCATCCAGAATTCCGGGACCAGATGTCAGACCTGTCACCAGATGATCATCAAGTTCTGTGTAGCTTCTTTTCTGTGTGAAAGCAGGAGGGCTAGGAACCGTCTGATGAAAGTGAAAGTTGAAAAAGCACAACTCTTGTAGCAAGAAATCAATTCCACCTCTGCAGTAGTAATAATTTCTGTAAGATTTGCCCAGCAAGTGCCAGCAGTGAATTAGCACAGAGCTTGTGAAAAATAAAAGGAACTGTATACATAACTGTTGCAAATGCTTCACTGCTGAATGATTGCTTGAAATAGATTGATTTTTTTCATTAAGGTTAATTTTTATTGTGAAGATCCTGATTTTATCTTCTGAGTCCCTGAGAATACCGTGTTAGACTGTCTCTATACAAGTCAAAAACCATTGAGGTTTAAATTTGGGCCATAGTTCACAGTAATGGTTTTCCACTTAAAGAGTGGGATTAATTTACTTATTTTAAATATGTTTCAGGTTTAGCCTCTTTTCCTCTTATATATTTTTACCTGACCTGTTCTCTTCCTGTTTACTGTCCCCTTCAGAGTAAGAACAAACTCTTATTTACTGTCTCTCTTGGCTAGAATTTAAAATTCAACCTGACATTAAGTTATTCCTTTCTGTACTGGAGGGGAAAAAAAATTCCAAGTCATATGGTACTATCCTTCACTTTCATTGAACCATCTGGATTCAGCTCCATTCTGGAGCTGAAAACTGTCAACGTCTCTTGATGCAAAGCAAATAGACTTAGCTAAAAGGGAAGTTCAAGCTGGAGCATCAGCGTGTAGAAAGTTTAGAGGAGTTCAACACTGGAGGAAGGAAATCATTATCTGTCAGAGGAGTCTCATCCTGCCCAAATGCCATAGCATTAAGCATCTAATGCTGTTTCTTTAAAGATTAGTCTCATATTCAAGATTTCAGAGTAAATCAGATTTTGGGTTTATTAAAGTTTACTTTTCATTTACTGTTTGCAAAGCTTATGTCCCAAACAAGAGGAAAGTCTAGTCTCTCATATCAGGACTTCCTTAATTTAAAGAAACTACAAGAAGGACTTGTTACTGCATGGCTCACCCCCTCAATAATAAAATTAATACCCATATGATTTTATGATACTCATAATCAAATTAGTTCCATGTCCTTCTGAAGTCTACATAATGTAATTTATCATCTACATAATTATGTTGACAATTGTAGTTATTTACCTTCTAAATGCCTTGAATCAAGGCATTAAACAAAGAAATTAAGTAAAACTATCATGTAACAAAGCATTTGAAATGCCTTATGATTTGGACTTTTGTGTAGGATCATAAGCACTGAAAAGATGGAGTTCACTAGTCATATTTATCCTTTACCCTTAAAAAAATCTTAGTTGAAACCCACTGTAAGGACCCACTGAAAAGTAAACTCATGTCACATGGGATTGAGTATTCATTCCAAATAATGATCATTATTTTAGTCTTGAATATTACTTGTTATTTTATGTTCTTGGCAATTATTGTATCTCATTTAAAATATTTATTTTTCCTTTTGGCTGTGTTTTCCCTACAAAACTGGAACAGTTATTCTAAAAATTATGGTCTCCCAGGCAAAATAAATTTAGTCTTGGAATTATGTCAAGACTTTTAACTTAAGATGAAGTTTAAAAACTATTTTTGTGCAAAAATGAAACTCACTTTTACTCATCTTTCTATGTACTGCTTCTCTGGGTGTTTCTCTCTGTAAATCAAACATATGCTCTTTTTCTTTCTTACTGGAAGACTTCCAAAGGTTGGGGGGAAGTCTTACAGGAAACCCTTCCAAAACATATGTAGGACTTGTTCTTCCTGTGCAGATAAAACCCTCAGTGTTTAAATGCAGACTAACTGAAACTGGAAAGCTGTAATATTTGGTTGGGACACTTTTTAATTAAAAGGTAGAAATTCGATGGCTAGTTTTCTCTGTTATAATTTGCACCAAGGGTTTTGCTTCATTGTATGTGTTTCTTTCAGTGAGTTCCAGATGTGCTAAAAATTTGAGATTTATTTTAGTTTAAATGTTTATTTGATCAAATGAGCATGTATTGCATTCTGAGACTTCCTTATCAGATTATCAGATGGAAATCAGTGCAGTATGTGCCTTTCATGAAGTTTTCTGTATGGCTTTGATTTGAAAACATCTGTCTTTTGAGCTACAAAATTAAACCAGAAGAAAGGACCCATACATACAAAAAATTGTTTCCAAGATACTGGCTTAGATTTTCCAGGTGTCCTGGAGTCAAATTGTATATTTTATGAATCTGATATTTTCTTGTGTGACTATTGATATACCACATAAATGTAATCCACTCTTAGAATACTGATGATTCATAGAATTAGAATTTTTTACAAGTGCATTATCACAAGTTAATTGTGCAATGTCTAAAGTGATTAGCTCTAATTAACTTTACATATCTTTCTGGTTTTGATTCTCCCAGGGAGCATACACTGGACTTCTAGCCTCTTATTATTAACATTCTTAAATTACGTATGCTTTCATGGATCCCTTGGGAAAGTCAACCCACCCTATTTAACAGATATTTCTTTTGGGGCAGCAAGGAGCAGAGATGAACAGAAGCAGTCAAGACAGCAATATATCATCAACGTTATTCCCATCATTATTTGAGGTGTGTTACTAAGAGAAGCTGCTGAGTTACTCTCCTAGCCTGGTGTTTGCTCATTACATGTTTTGAATATAGTATCACTATTATTAAGCCTTCACTTGTTTATAAAGTATCTTGAAATACTGCTTAACAAGGAGACATACAGAGGTAGATAATTATCAGCATTAGGACCTAACTAACACATGCTGAGTTCAAGTTTACATCACATCTTTTACACTAGTCTGCCCCGTATTAGAAATGCTCTCATTTTATTGAGACAAAAGTAGAAATTAATACTATCAAATCAGATAGTATTTTCCAGTCCAGATGGATATGCAGATGCTGCCAGGGATGTTAAAGGTGTGGCTAGCATCATGTGTGCATTCAAAATGGGCTTTAAAAATAGTGCTAACATAGCCAAAAAAATGGGAGAATGAGTAATTCAAAGTATGAGTGTCTGTTTCTTTTCTTCTCCCCCCCAACTTCACAGAAGGTAAATGCTAGCATTTCCACTATTTCAGATACAATGCTGAAAAAAAGATCTGTGAAATTAAAGTCTGTACTCCTAAGAAGGGTAAATTTTAACTTTTTCTAGCTTTCTCAGGAGCTATTAAATCTTTTTGGGTCATCACCTAATTAAATGACCATGTAAAAAATTATTTTTGTCAGGCATGTAACCCATGGAGTACCTAGGTTTGTTGGATAAATGTAGCTGGGGATTGACCTGGATTCAGGAGGTCCAGTAGTGCTCAGGAGGTAAGAAGCTCAATTTTTATTTTCATTGCCACTATATGACATGCTGCATCTCAGAATATGTATTGTGAAACCAAAACAGACATGTATAAAACATGAAAAAGACCCAGATTATTCAGGATTGAATTAATATTTTAATCAATCAGGAAAGAAATTAGATTTAAAGGTTTGGAAAATATGATCTAATGAGTGAGCAGACATTTCAAACAATGCCAAAGTATTCATCCTTTTATATACAGAGAGAGAAAATTCACACACACACACAAATATATATATATATATATATAAAAGAAAACAAAAATATTTCTAGATTATTTTATAAATACCTAAAATCTAAGAAGATAAAAATCTGTACTTTCTTATATGATATGGAACATACTAATATATATGTGCATATATACACCAGGAATTTGAATTTTGAACATACTTATATATATAAGGAGTTTGAATTTTGCCTCTTGTTCTGCTTAATTTTCATAAGAAAAAGTAAATTCTTAACTCCTTACAGAGCTTATGGGCTAGATTCCTGAATTGAATTCCTGGTCTGAAGAACTGAAGATGTAAGTAGGCACAACAGTGAAAAGAATTTTAAGAAAGTAAGTCACGTCCACCAAAATACACTTGGAGTCTGTAGATCAGAACTACCAGAATGAAAAAAGTGGCCTCTATTACTAAAGAACAAAAAACGTCTTCAGAGCAGTGTGTTTATTATACTAAATAAATAATCTTCTTAGTGTTTTTATAATCAGAATAGAGTGGTAACATCTTCCCACACCAGATTTTCTTGCCCATTTCTTTGTTATAGCAAACGTTTGAACACTGTTACTGCTCTAGATAAAACATTAACCCTTTTCCCCAAAATTACTCTTTTCAAAACTTTTTATATTTAAGAAAAGCCAGGAGTAATTAGCACAAAACAATTATTTATCTCTTTGATGATGGAAAAGGTGTTTGGCCGTATTGCTGAAAATGAATCCCTTGGGATGCTGTAATCTTCATTACTTCTCCATTTAGAGTATCATCTTCAATTATTGTTATTAGTCCCTCAGCAATTGTTGATGGGCTGAAAAAAAAAAGTTATTTCAGATTCATGATATAATAAAACGTGAAAAGGACAAGTAAAGAAACTCAATGTAAATCTATATAACCTGAAAATTAAACAAATTTTTGTTTGAGCAAATTTACTTTGAAGAAAAGCAGAGGTGTATGAGTGTTTCAGGAAAGATATTTAGTCTCCTCAACCAGGACATACATGTGGAGTGGCTGCTTTACAAATCATCATTTGTTTGCTCTAGTTTCTGATAAACGCCTGTGGACATCTAAATGCTACTGGACTTCCTATCAAAGTTTTCTCTGCCAGGAAAATGGACAGAAGTAATCCTTACACAATCATCTGCAGCTCTGCTGTTTCTGTACCAGGACTGACATACAAATTAGCATAAGGATAGTTTCACATGCAGTTTGCTGTGGTCAATAGGTGCGATGTATTTTACATATGGAAAAGTATGGGTGAAACAACACAGTCATAGCATTTCCTTTGTGCAGAAGCATCTAAGCAGCCAATTGTTAGAAACTAAGAAAGTGAAAAAACCCCCCACTTTATGCTTGTCTTGTTCTCACAGGCTGTCCGAGATGTCTGCTTTTGGCCTTTGTTGGCAATACTGTAATGGGTCAGATAACTCTTTGATCTGATGCACAATGGCTGCTACTGTGCTTTTATGAACTTAGTCCAGTTTTTTCAGTTCTTGGTCTTCTGTCTTGTTTCACTGGGAAATTTTGTGAAAATCCAATGCAAATTATATACCTTGTATCTCACAAGAAGTTTGATTAAAGAAATTTATGAGGGAACACCTAGGTCTATTAAAAACTAAACACAATGTATTTAACTTAGGAATTTGATTTGCATTTTGCTGGGAATTGGGAATGCATATGGGGATACATTACTGTGAGGGTGGTGCTGTTAAAATAGCCTTAGATGTCTTCCTTTTTTTCCTTGTTTATAGCATAACACATTTGATAGTCTTTTGTCTGAGGCAGCATTTCCCTTTTATTTTAATTTTTCTAAAAGTGCTATTGCGTGTCTTTGTTCCTCATGAACAAAAGGAAAAAGCCTGTATCTGACTTGACTTACTCCATCACGCCATAGAACTGCATCATATTTTTGATCTCATCCTTATATGAATAATATTGTCCCATATTCTCTTCTTTATCTATGGACTGAAGAATTGGTGTGTTGACAAATCCTGGACAAATTGTGTTGAGTCTTACACCATAGTTGTCCATATTAGCAGCTAACTAGAAAAGAGAAAGGGTTAGACGTTTGTCATCAACATTTTGAGACAGTATTGTGTAAGTTTTTAGATAATGAGATTTAACACTAAGTACTTTTCAGCCTTGCTTAGTAAGCAGATTTTGTTACTACTGATTGTTTTGTTTCAAACTAAGTTTGAAGCACATTTCCTGTAGTAATCATACTAGATTACTAGGAAAAAACCTGTTTGTTTTGTTGGGAGAACAATTCTACAAGAAATCAACACTCTTATTTGCATGAAGCTGTTTTTTTCTAATATTTTTTGTTATTAGTGCTCTTAGCATGTCATTAAAAGTATTCTAGGGTGATGAGATAACTCTTCTAAGCAAAACCAAGAAAAAAAATCTCCCAAATATATGAACTTTTTTATTAAAATAAAACTGTAATAAAGAAACAGTATCTTTAAGATTGTATTTGCCTCCCTACATCAACAGAAATAGGATCTAGGCTTTATGCCTTGAACTGTAATGTTAAACCTTTCCAGTTGCTCTGTTGTCCTTGCCAATGTATGAAGCTATCACTGAGCATCTCCACAGGAAAGTCCCTGTGAACTCCAGGAAAGAGGCACTAGTTTTTTCAGGAAGTAGTTCAGGAACATGATGAAAGCAAGACGCACAAGTTGTTCTGTGCCCTCATTTGTGGTTCTACCAAAGTGTGTATGTAGCAGAGAAGTCTGATCAGCATTCAGGCATGCGTTGCATGCTGGATGAACTTTCTTAGCACAGAACTTATTAACTATACATGACATATTCAAGAATAACCATAAATGTTAACGCTGCATTGTATTTATTTTAATATTAAACAGGAATCCTTTCAGGTATTATGCAAGTCTCATGTCATTTTCATGGTATGGTAGTCTGCCCTTTTGGTCTGAGGGAGAAAAGAAAATCAAGTCCTAGATGTTAGGTATCAGACCAGCCCAACATTAGGCTGTACTGCCTTCCCTGGTAAATACTGTAGTTCGCTATGTTCATTATTCTTTTTATTCTTGACATTCTTATGTTACTTAAAGACAGTGTTTCCTCTAATTTACTTTTGCACTTAGATGGTGTAATCTATATTTATAATGAGAAAAACAAAATGCAAGCCTAGGTGTCAGGTTCTTGATGTGTTTAATGCAGTATATGAAACACTTATCCATACTATTCTCTAAGGTTAATCTGAAAAAGAAGTTAAATTTGTGTGGGCATGGGGGCATAAAATATGGATAAAATATCCAAAGTATTATTTTAGGTGACTAATTCTGGAAATCAGGTTGGAAATCTTATATGAGTAGATTAATCTATTGAAAGTAACCATAACTGCTCCCTCCAAGTTACTTTATTACACTGCTTGTTTAATTTAACTAGGAAGTTTTGGAGTCAGAGCCTGAGACTTACTATATGGTCATCTTACATGTCCCATCCTGAATGTGTAATTTTTCCTTTTTGGAGTATTAAGACTCAGTAAGAATAAATAATGATGAGTCCAAGTCACTTTTGTAAACTTTAGTGCCTATTTATCATTAAAAAAGTAACCAACCTGACTGGCAAATAAGGAAAACAAAGTGTTAAGTGACTGGGATGGGGTTCTGAAAAAATTTTTAAAGCTTGGATTAGAATTTGGCTTTTGGGCTCCTCCCACTCTCCTTAAATTACTTTGCAACATCTTTCTTCCATGCTCCCAAAACCTCAAATCGGTCATAAGCACACAGATGCCATACTTATTTCATCTTTGGATTGCCTTTGTGAAAGGAGGGAACCTCCACTACTTCAGACACTTTGTTTCCTTTCAGAAAATTATTTCCAGTTGTGTGGCTATAGAGAAGGAACGTGAAAAACTTCAGAATGTTCTGAAGGAGCTGCTGATACTCTTTTCCAAAACACATACTTACTGCTATTGATCGTGTGAATCCAATTACACCATGCTTTGTAGCACAGTACACAGGTTGAAATGCAGCAGGCATGAGTCCTTTAAAATAAAAAGATAGCTGAATAAAGATGTTGAGAACTCCTATTTATGATTACCTTAAACACAAATATAGGTATATAATGTAAAAAAAAATGATATATTTATAGAGATACCACAAAATAGAGTAGTAAAAATGTGCAGATTATATTTTATAATCTGAGACAGGCTGGGAAAAGATATTAGATGGATAAAACCACAAAGAGTCAAAAGAAAAGTAATAAAGGAAAGTGTAACTTTTAAGAGGAAAAGTTTTATCTATAAAGTATGACTTAGAAGAGAGGACAGGATCTGGAAGAAAACACTCAAGAATGAGATTTTTAAGTCATGTTCTATGAATTAGTAAACTATTTAAGGATATAAAGGATGTGAAGTATTTTAGATAAGCTTTGATTTCTAACACCCTAGCTGATGTGAACTGGACACCTGCATTAATTTACAGTGACTTCAGAGAGGAAGTGTGGGAAAAGGAGAAGCAAAATAAAAGTGACTGCTAACATCGTGAATCTTGATGGTGAGAGGGGGAGAGCAGAAATTTTTATTTATAGTAGAAAAAGGAGAACAGAGGTTTCGAAGGAAAATTAAGAACTTAGTTCTAGTAAGACTGAGTTTGATGGCCAAACAAGCTAATCAAGAAGAAATGACAGATCATAAGTGCATATTCATTCCTGCCCATTATGCCAGCAATTTCCACTGTACAATGAAAGCTGAACTGGACCATATGGATGCTGTAGTTTCACCTGAAAGCTATGTCCTTATGAATAGCAAACTTCAGCCTGTCCTAAAATTAGAGGATAAAATTAGTCTGTGTTCCTTAATGTGCCATTGTAAAACTGGATAGTGATTTTGATGCCTTAATGTTTGGTTCTATTAGAAATCATCTCAATTAATAACTCACATATAATATGGTTACTTTCATTTTTCATATTTCATATCTTTAAGTGATGCATTCAAGAAGGGGTGGGACTTATCTCAGTGGAGATGACGAATTCACTACCCAGCTTTAAATATGGATTTTCCAGAAAAAATATGTTTGCCAGAGATTTGCATGGGCTCTTTGCTCTGAAATCTGTTTTGTCTAAAGGAAAAAACTTTCTAAGACAGCACGAAGTTCTAATTACGAACCTGAAAGTTTCAAGGTTTTATCTTGGTTTATATGCTACCTTGGTGATGCAGCGAAATCAAGACTGTTATTAGCACTGTTCAATAGTGGAAAGTGAAGAACTAAACCTAGTGGCTGGTTGTTCTCTTTAACTTGTATTTATTTACTTAGCTTGGACTAATGTGTTAAATTTCTGCTTGAGAACTCACTTTATGAAAATGGCTTTTGTGTTGTCTCCTGTGGGTTGTGATCACAACACAGGCTTAATATTCCTCTTTTTGTTGATTTTTGATGATCATCACCATTCTTCAAATTTTTGGAAACGTTGGAATAGTAGCACATTAGAAATATTATGACACTATTTTTAAAAAGACTCTTAAGTACTTTTACATGCTTTAGATAAAAAAAAATTCCAATTAGGCTGCAGCAAACAGAAATAAAACTGACACAATTTAGTGAGAGATACAGAGGAGGAATTTAGAGGTAATTTTATTTTTATTTTTTTAAGCCCAGTGAGACAAATTACTTTTTACTTGAGAGGGAAGAGAAACAAAGTCAAGAAATAAACAAAGGAAGGGCACAGCTCACAATAATGAAGTTTAATAAGGTTCAAAGACTTACTTAAATGGCAAAGACAGCAATAATAACTAAGCAGAAAGGGAGGAACAAATAATTTTTTTTAAAAAGCCAGTTCTTTTCTAATTGAAATTATTATTTTTGCTGAAGTGGAGAACCAAGAAATAATCAATTGACTCATTTTCAGCCCAAGCATCTAAGACTAGTCCTAGCACCTCTCACACAAAACAGTGACAGCCCTGTCTTACTTTTCTTCCTGAGTTTGGTACTGAGAACCATGGTGTGGGCCTTCCAGTTCTGAGCCACTTCCCTGCACTGGAAAGAGCTGAACTTGTTAGTGATGTGTCCTAAGGACTTTCTTAGCAAGTATTTTGTGATGAACCACTGTGTGACATTGAGCCTGCTCAATTCAAGCAGTGAGCAAAGATGAGTTCATAACATATTACTTAGGACATCCTTTTGTTAGAAAATCTGGTTTCTATTTGCTCCTTCCATGAATATTTAATTATCTTATGCAATGCAGAACGGCTGTGAAACAGACTGGAGAACATTATGCACAAAATAATGGGGGGAGGAAGGGGAGGGTGTTCAAATGGATGGGTTAGTGAACTTCTGGAAAGTGATATATGTGTGTTTTAATCTCTCTTAACAAGGGGGGGCAGCTATGCCTACGTTTTTCTTTCTCTGGATGTTGCTGCACAGTGAATTGCAAATGATTTCATGTTGACTCAAGATGCTCTTTGGTTTACCAAAACCAGTGTTAACTGCTCTTTTTTTATTTTTCTCAGTTGCTGGCAGGTTGACAGAGACAGCTCTTGCCCTTGCTTATACTCTAGTCCCTTTGTTATTAGAGTGGCAAGATCATTCTACCATTGGAGACATGGTGTCAGGCTTCTCACTCCAACGCCTTATTTATCATGGTCAATAGTTTCAATATCCACATCTTGAGAAATTAGTACTGGAGGTGGTAAGTCGTATCAATAAGCTTGCATTGTTATCAGTAAGCTTTGTTGAGACTGAAATTTCCCTTCAGTCCGCTGAAGAACTTTGATGAAAACAGAATTAAGCATTTTTCCCCAGTTATACTTTCCCGCTGAACACATATTACCTTCAGAGGTTTGAACAAGTCTCTTTGAATAAGATTTATTAACCTTTTTAGTTTTTAGTTGGACTTTGGCCTTTCTGAGTTTTTCCCTGTATACCCTCATGACATCCTAGCAGTCCTCCTGAGTGCCAAAACAAAAGACACTCAGAAATCCTAGCAGAAATTCTAAGCTGTGCCATTTCTATGATTCCTTTAATAGTGAACTGAAGTCTCAAGGGAATAGCTTCTAAATTTTTTAACCTCATTCTGTTGGATTCTGCTCAGTATCCTTCTTTTAATAAAGCAGAGGGACCAGAAGCTCTTTCATGATTGTGAAATTAAGGCCCCGGTTGTACAGCCACTGGCACTTCTGCTCCCCTGTACCACTGTGATACAGTCCTTACTCAGTGATGTTAACAATATTCTTAGTTTTGTTCTTGTAATATATATAGAATCAGGTCCTATTAAAGCCTGTTTGCTATGATGGGTACTTTAAGTATTTCTTTGGGCTGAAGCTTTCCATATAAAAGGAGGACAAACGAGCTGCTTGTGGAATCTGAGTGCTCAAAGTAGAGTGCAATCAAAGCACTTATATGACTGTACAACAGAAAGGTGACCAGATTCATTGCATATCAAACAACCTCTCAATCTTGGTGGTGTGCTAATAATTTTACCACTTCTAAGCCCTCTATGAAAACTCTGAAGGTTTTTTGTCTGCTAGAATCCAGACAGATACAAATTCAGTTTTATAAAATACCTTCTTCAAAATATGAAAGCTACCAAGACAAAAGTGTATGCATGACTTTCTTTCTCCCTTTACTTGCAAAAAATGTAAGGTACCAGCCACCACAAGGTAGAAGACAATGTTAAATTTAATCAGGTAAATAATCTCTTGAGTTAAATTTAGTTTTGTATGGTTTCTCTGTTGCTTGTAACTATTCCATTAAACAAAATAAAGGTAATGTGTAGCTTCCTACAGAAGAAATTTTAGAACATTTTACTCCTTAAATTTGAAATCAAATTTTTTTCAGTACAAAACCCTGCAGTCATTAGAGTTATTTTTTATGGGGCCAAGTTAGAAGTAAAATACATTTCTCATTATTTCAGTTTAGCAGCATTACTTCTTGATATGAATACACAAATCCAATAACAATTAGATTTATAGATCTGAGACACAGCGGAGTGCTTACTGCGTGTGCTTGCATATTTGTCTCCCTCTCTTACCTAGTCCTGTCCTGTGGAGAGACTAAAGAAAGGAAGACCCAGTACTGGAAAGACAGGGTGGACACTGTCTTTAATCCAGCTGTGAATGAACACTTTAAGCATCGACTTCATAGGAAGCATTTAAGTAGTTCCATGGGTGTTTGAAAATGTAAAACTGTAAGGCTTAATTCTGTCCCTAGTCCAAATCATTGGGAAAATTTCCATGGCGGAGAAATGGAAACTAATTAATGTGTAAAGCAAATATTATTGAATGTTACGTAAGCACTAAATACAATTCTTTTTGTTGCTCATCAAGACACAGGAATAGTTGCTGTCTGCATCTTATAGAGAACTTGCACAGGGGGGATCAAAGCCACTCAAAAATTTAATGATCAACAGAAGCTAGTTCTAAGAAAACACTCAAAAAGAATAGTAAGCAAGCCAATGACAGTTTGCCTTTCATATATGGAATAAACTATAGGACCTAGACCTTCAAACTGGAAAGAAGAATTAGAGTCATAAAGCACAAGTAGTAGTAAATAAGTAAGCAATAAAAATTAGTATATGTTAGCTTTTAAAGTGTGTTTTTTCTTATGCCCTTGGAAACAATTCCTAAATACAAGCCATGTAAAAGAAAACAAAACAAAGAACACTTTGTTTTGTCAGATACCCACAATCATAATAGCACAATGTTAATGTTAAAAATTAAGTGAATAAATGCAAATTTTAATCAAATAATTAAAACAGCTCTTACAAGCTCTTAACAAACAGAACAGCCAAGCTTTTAGGTCTTAAAAACAGAGTCATTTTGTGTTTATGTGAGACTATTTAGAAAAGGAACCAAACTACTTGCTACCTCTGCCCTTTTTTAAGCACTGCCTGGGCACCAGTGTTTCTGTGAAAATGTTTAATCTTTTACTTGTGCTGATGAACTCTTGTACTGCAACAGCAGTTCCTTCAGGTTAATTTGATCCCCATACAATGTCCATTCGAGCCAATAGGGATAAACTTAGAGGCGTCAGTGGGCAATGTGTTAGGCAGTGTTACAAATGCTGACTTAAAAGTACACGGAGGCTTTTAATAAAGAACCTCTCACCCGTATGAGATATGTGCATGTATTAAGTCAGATCCTCCAGATCCATATGCATTATCTTAATAGGGTGAACTAGACTTTTTATCACAAAAGCTAAGGTTTACAGGAGAATTTAATACTCAGGACATCCACACCTGTCCACAGTCAGTAACTATGGCCAGTGCTCTTAAATGGATTTTCATTGTTAAGACAGATAGGAATATTTTGGAATAAAATTGCTCTAATTTGGTAATCTGCACAGATACCAAAGAAAGCTCTGACAATCCAAGTGTAAACTAGCATATATATTATTTTTCCCAGACAGTATAACAGTAGAAAGAGAGAACAAACTCTTCAAATGAAAAAGAGAGAATGCAAGTACTTCCCCACACATTTTTTGAGGAAGGTTGTCAGATGACATCATTGTCCATATATAGTTTCCCCTTCAGCTGTGCTTTTTTGCTGTGAACCCAGTCATTGCAACATTGAGTGTACCACAGGAAATGGTGCAGAATTCTGCCTCACAACTGAGCAGCAATAACCCTGACCCATATAATGCTATTTTTATGCCGATAAATTGAAACACAATTATAGCATAGACAAAGAATGAGCAAAGAAAACACTTGCTTAAGCTCGGTGAAATATGTTAATTTTATGGCTTCTCAAGCTCAAGTAGATCACATTTGAGAGGACTTGGAACAGAATGGGTGTATGACAATCTTCGTTAGTAAAGTAGATACAGTCTAGTCTTAGATATTCCTACAACTGTGCTCCTATGGAATTGAATGTAGGAATTTATATCATGCACAATATTTTAAATATGAGACCGATAGGTTAGGAAAATTACTGATTTTTCTATTGAACTATGCTTAAAAAAGCAAATGAAAGTTGTAGTGATTTGATATGCTTCTGTTGCTATGATGAAAACCAAGTCAAAATAAATGTAAACATGGAAAAATAAACAGGGAAGAGCCATAAGAAAGAAGAAAAAATACGACTGATAAGTATGATTCATTTACTTTAGAAAAAAAAGTAGTAGGAAGCGTTTTGCAGAAAATATTCTCACCTGCCAAGGATGAGATATTAATGATTACTCCTCCATTGCCTCCATTTCCTTTTCTCATGTATTCTAGGCCAAGGTAGGTTCCTCTAATCACAGATGTCTGGTATAAGGGGAAGGAATTATCAAAGATATTCAAAGATTATTTGAAACTATTAAAATATCTTACTGAATTATTTATGGTATACAAAGTATCTTTCTATTGTGCTCCTACAAACTGAAACTTGCTTTTATTGTGGTGCTTAGAACCTGTGTTGCTTTACCAGTGATCCTATTTATACTTTGAAGATTATAAACACAAAAGACACTCCACAGTATTGCAACTCCATAACTTCAGAAGTGGGACTGCAATAAATAAAAGTAATAGCAGTTTACTTATTTTTCTTAAGAAGATATCAATAATAAAACTAAAATATTGCAAAGTGAAATAAGAGCCACGAAAGAAATTAAATAAGTAAATTATAGATCAAACACACACCTTATCTAAAAATGTAAGTGGCAGATGAACTGATCTATATCCCGTCATTTTTGTTGAGACGCACTGTTATACATAATAAAAAACTGTACAGACTGTATCTGAAAATAACATTAACACTTAAAACTGCATTTGGCTCAAGTCACAAGAAATTTACAGTTTTTAAGATTAAGAATATATTTCTGGTCCCAGGATATTAAAGATCTGTATTATTTTATGGCTAAAGTTATGGGAGCTTTACTAGTCCTCTCAAATGAAAGTTAGCCCAAACAGGCAAATACAGATAAGGTAAAAAAAGCATTCTAAGAGATGTGAAATGTTGTTAGCTTAATATTAGTTGCAATATGTGATTTTTACAATTTTTTTTTTTTTAAGAAAGTATTTTGAGGAAAAAGAAAATTTCTGAAACCTATATAATCCTGATTCCTTAAAATCTGGTTTTGATCCCTAATGCAGTTAGAAATTCTGCTGGGATTCCTCTCACTGAACTTCAGACAAGCCTGGGGTTATCAGCCTCCTGGATGAATCATGAGAGAGAGTTTCTCCCAGAGAGTGAGTCACTTTACCTGAGATTTAAACAAACAGTAAGAGAAAAACAGCAGCAAGGGCTCCTGGTGGAAGACAGTAACTTTAGTGAAACAGTGTTACGGCATAGAAAAGCTTTTTTTTGTTTCTCTCCTGGCAAGTTTTGTTTCAGCTAACATATTTTTTAAAAATATTTGGATTATTATCGAAAGGATGCTATAACAGATGCTTTAACAGAAACTTTCTGTTTTTCAAAATTCTCTTCAGTGTTGTTCAGTCTTGAAACATACCAAAGTAAATCTGATTTCTCTTACATGTTATGGAAAGTAGCAAATCCCCTTGTAAAGGTAATCTAGTGCTGTTTAATGTTGATTGTCACATATAAATTTGATTTATTAAACCCAAGACTGTTAATGTCCAGTAGTGTTGCCATAAGGTATACTTATTCTGATCATAAACTAACTGGCACCTCAATTGAAATTAGATTTGGACTTTAGGGTGGGTGGTATTTTTTAATATATACTTATGATAGGCTGTACAGAAGATATTTAGAAAGAAAGGGGTTGTACAAAAGATATTTTAGAAAGAAAGGGGTTAATGTTGTCTATGGAGAGCAGGTGCAGGTCCTGTCATGCCCTGGAGCAGTGGCTCAGCCTGTTGAGCAGAAAAAGAGAATTCCACTTAGGATGATCAGAGAACATAAATCAATTGAAGAAGGAAGCAGCTTGGGGCTCCTTAAGGATTTTCCTATTCCTCCAGCCTTCTAAGAGATAATAGAGCTAGATTAGTCCTTGTACAAACTACAATTATAAAACAAGAAAAAAAGTGGGTTGCTTGACTCTCTTATGAAAATTACTGTATTGTTCTCTTTTTGTCTCTAGAATCCATTAACTTAGTATTTATTCAAGTGGCTGGGAACATGTTCTCCTTTACACAAAGGTATTGTGAGAGGTAGTCTTCAGAATAAAGACAGACTTCCATTTGGATATTGCCCCTTACACCTGCTATATCCTTGTAATCCTTACCTGTAATCCTTGCAAATACCTCATTGAGTGTGGCTGATTTTGGGTGAAGTGGCTATTTATGATGTTTAGGGTGGTAAAGTAAAGAATTACTATATTCTGCAGATAGATAAAGTCTGAAGCTCAAATCCAGGGTGAGAAGAACCTATCTGTCTGCGTACTCAGCAGGTGGCACTTCTGATGAAAAGTATTGCGTGATATATTTCCCATTCTCTTTCCAGAATCCACCTCTCTCCAGGAGAGAAAATTCTCTCAATAGTTCCCCAAGGAAGACAGCGGTGGCAGAACTTACTATGGAAGTCAACAATGTGTGCTTAGCAGACTTAGTGCCACTTTCCATTTGAGCCTGTTGATTCAGCTGAGTTCATGACGGGAAGCTAGCTCCTCATATCTGGGTGTCAAACACTCAAATGGGAAAGAGGTTTCCCAAAGAAAAACAGTATTTGGATTACTGTTTTCCAAAGAACAATAGCACATTTGATTTTGGTTTTGTTATGAAATCCATCTTCGCAAGTGCACAAATTGCAGCCTCAGGCCTCCTCTCATATGTGACTTTGGATTCCTAATTGTTGATGTCAGAATGATTAGTCTGCACTCTAAAAGAAAGATCATCATCTGTTACTTCCTTATACCATGAAATACACAATAGAAAGTGAGATGGGCAAAGAATTATGTGTTTTCTGCACAGTTTTCTGGGTTTTGGATATGATTAAAAATGTCTGTCATTTCCTTTCCATAAATTGAAAGAAACTAAAGGTCTCCTCAGATTGTGTAGTTCTCTAATTGAACTTCTAAAATAGTTTAATTCCATGCTCTTAACCAACAATAATTCATAGCTTGTCTGTTGCAAATAGAAATTCTGGGAAAGTTAATTTTAAAATTACCTAATTAAAAAAATTGTCTGACTTGGTTTAAGATAAAAATATGCTGACAGACTGTACAGGAAAGCAATTCAGAGCTGAAATTTTTACAGTTCCTTTGTTTAAAGCTGCATTTAGTGGAATGGATGTTGTTCATAAACATGTCAAGAACAAAGAGTATGAAAGTTGTCAGATTTGTAATTAAATGTAGGTTAATCAAGAATTAGGACAGATGACTCTCACACAGTTTTTTTGACCCTGGCTATGGAAAACTAGTATCATTAAAATCAGAAAATAATCTAAATTACTGTCCTTCTAGCTGTTGAAAACTGTGTGATTTAGCAGCACTGCTGTTTATTTTCTTACCGATATAGAGTGTTTTACTATAGCACATAATGAAGATAGGCCATCAAGGTGCACTGGAAGTCTGAGTGGTCTCCCAAGAGGGCAATTTTACTCTTCAAGTACCAGTGGAAAATTTAGGATTCTTTCCAATAAAGTTATAATATGAGCATTAGTTTTTATAAATTACATATTTAAATTAGAGATCAGACCTTCTGAAGTACTATAAAGTAATAAACTCAGTGGTATCTGACAGCATGATAAACATTGTAAAATAATTATGCAAATACTCTGAGCATTTGCAATTGCTTTTGAGAGTATCATATCAATAATTGCTAACTTATTTAATGATTTCTTAAATGGCAATTTAGGTATCATTGTCAAAATCAGAAATAAAACTTAAAAAATCCTTGATTCTTGACATTTCTATGTATCCCAGGGCTGTATAGCTTTAGTTGTATCATTCTAAAGGAAATCATATATTGAAACTCTGATTCTAACTAGACTCCAAGTCTTCAACAGAGCACTAATTCATTTTTTTCTGCTTTTGGGAACCAATGCCAGCCAATGTGTACAAAATCTTGCATTCCAGCATTATACTTCTAACTCAGTTTTCATACTTTCTATTCCATTCTAGCTTTATCCATTTAAAAAAAAAAAAAAGAAGAAAAAAAAGGTTCTTCAGTGATGGTGCTCAGAACATCATTAATCATCATCTTTTGCAAGTGACAATTTCTTTGAAGGTAACTTAGTACACAGTGCTTTCTTCTAGTGTTTCAAGGCAGGTGTTCCAACTGACATAGTTTCTCCTATTTAACAGGAGTTTTACCTATCTAATAAGGTTTCCCTTCCACCTCTGTCTGATACTTCTGCTGTCTCCTTATGCTTGTTAGTATTTCATGCTGAGAAAATGTATTAGCACCTTCAGTGTTGAAGATAAGTACTATATTGCTATTAAGATGGTACAGCAATATGAAATCCTTTGAGGGAAAAAAAGGGTAATCAGTCCTAACATTTTATATAGGTTCCTGAGCTAACATAGTTCAGTGCTAGGGATAATGAACAAAAATGAAAGAGCCGTGGACTTGTGGTTTCATAAAGCAGGTTAGCACAGAACTGGAATTTGACCCAAGATCATTTGCCTTTCATACTGTGATGTTGTAAATTGATGGCTATCTATAAGGAAACATTTAAAGTAGCTTGTAAACTGCGTAAGACAGAGTTCAAAAGTCTGAAACTAAGTGCTGCTAGTGGTACCCGTGGAAAATTTTAGCATTTTGCTGTTGGACAGGAAGGTGGGACTGATTTTTTTTTAATGTATATTTTCTAGGAAGTAGACAAGTTGCAGCAAGCATACAGGTCCCTTGGCATTACTATGTAGAAGTTAATTTAATTTCTATGAAATGAAATTGTAGGCTCTTGAGTTTGAATTTCCAGCTCAAACTGTGGAAAACAAGAAGTCTAGGGAGGGAGAGGTAAAAAGGAGAAAGGAATGTGCAGTAGGATTTGTTCATTTGCTGCAGATCCATAGCTTTTTTTACAGGGTTGGAGTGAAACACTGTCTTTTAGTTTTTTTTATGGTAGTTTTCCTTACTTCCCCCCTCTCCACTCCACACACCTCTATTCACGAAGGACATTTGAATAGCATTGCATTTTGAATAGCTAGGCTTAAGTTCTTAGTTTAAAGACATTTGCTTTTCGTTGTACTTCAACTGTGGTTGCTATAAACATACATTAAAACTGTAAGCTAAAAAGTTCATTGACTTACTTTGCGATTGAGGTAGGTCACTGTGTCCTTCCTAATGCAATATGAACAACAAAAATAATTATACCTATATGCTTCTTTATGCACTTAGAGGATTGACCCTCATGTCACTAA